ATATATTATTAGTTCTTTCCAGGGGAACCATCATTTTCTTCCAGGCCTGTTTATTTTATAAAAACCTTCTGTTGAAGCATTGTTGAAAAGCAGTGCCTGACTTTCATTGGTTCATTTTCATAGTATTGTTATCTTTATTACATTTCTCTCATTTAAGTTAGCATGTGACCATTGTGACTGTTTTTAATTTACATGGGGTGCCAACAATTCTGTCCACTAAATAATAGTTTCCTGTTGGTCCATATCAATTAGAACAATGTTTCCTATACAGTCTCACAAAAAGTGAAAGAAAGTCTTTATTCAAAGATTAGATGCAGGAAAAAAAACATTTTAAACATGAGTATTATCAACAAAGAATTTATTTTCATTTATCGCAAAATGTGTTCAAACAAACTGTTGAACTACCAAGCAGAATCTTTAAATCATTATCAACCATTGGCATTTGATGTTTTTTATTATATGTATAAATATAGCAATTATTCATGTATATACAATTTATACATAGATATTATACATACTATACAGAGTATGTTTCTCTGTAAATCCTGGATTTTTAAGGGGGAACCTAAAAGAAAAACAAGGGAAAATCACTTAAACAAAAAGTGTCTTGTATTATTCCAAATGATTTTTTTTTTTTTAAATACAACATTCACCAGCCCAATGTCCATTTTTTTTTATCCTCAAGCCGTTTCAACCCGTCTTTTGTTGTCAGTTGAAATTAATTATGTGTTTTAAATCACTTCCTAGCATTTAGTTTTAACTTGTATCGATCAGGGCTAATGTGTGTAAAACATTTGTGATACATTTTTATTCCATGTCCAAAATTTTAATCAACTAAACATCCATAAGGCCTAACATTAAGACCGCCAGTCTGATAGTGTCTTGGGTTACACCCCTGACTCATTGATGTATAATATCCAGCTGAAGGTGTATTGGGGTATTGTATATGTTTAGTGGGATGTTTATAACTGACATATTTTTAGTTCATCCTTTGAGTCTTGCCAGTTGCAAGGACCCATGTTATTTGGACTTTTTTGTCCACCACATTCCCATTATACTTGATTTGACCGAGATATAGGGGATTTTTTCAGCTATGCATACATGATAAATTATATTGTGCAGCGTTTTCTGACACCTTTCTATCATAACTTAATTTATCTTAGCTACAGCAGATTCCAGTTTAGTCTGGATATCTGGACCATCTTCACTCCCTATCTAAATAAGCAAGCCTTAGTTTCAACCCCTTTTTTCAACACCTAACTACGACAGACTGGGAACGACCCACTAGAGCTGCATTGTTGGAGATGCTTTTAAAGTTCAAAACATGTCAAAGTCGTTCAAATCCTTACACCTAACAATGTTTTTCTTTTTTCAAGCACATTTTGTAAATAAAAAAAAAAAAGAAGTTACTTGTTGACTAATAGAATCCAATAAAGGACTTTGCTCAGATTAAGGTGCAATCAGTTTTTCTCTTCATCTGTCAGTGTTCGTAATGTCATGTCTGATTGGTGGACATAGGGTTTTCTTTAGAGAGCTTTTTATTCATTACTTGACTGCACCTATGGTAATTTTCACCTCAAATTATGGCTAGTATCTGAGTTCTAGTTGGTCCAATTGCTGCACCAGTTCCTAACTGCTTTGAGGTCTTATTTTATGAAATGATCAGTGTTTTCACGCGTCAACATCTATCATGCACACAAACTAGCAATGCATTGACTACAACTAATTGATAATGTTAATTGATCCAACTTTAATTAACTCAAAGGTAATCTTTTATTACTGGAGGATTTGGAAGCAATACACAGTTGGGTGTGGGGCAGGTGTGTCAGTCTTGAGGTGTTTATAAAGAATAATAAAGATTAGGTGATTTTTGAGTTAATAATTTTAATTTCCCTTTAGGATCAACAAAGTATTTCTGGAATGAATTTAATTATTCTGAGAAAAAAAAAAAGGATTGCTGCAGAATCGGGACAGTCAGTCTGGAAGAAAACTTGACCATCAGCACACTCAAAAAGAGAAAAACAATACAGCAGAGTAGTCAATAATAGTCAACAGAGGACAACATTATGGTACTTTTGTATTTGCCAAACCAGAGTTCATACTTGAATACCTTCCAGGATTTATTGGGAAAACCAAGGAAGGTGTCAAACCTCAAAGATACAAAGCTGGAAAATTACTTTTGGCAAGTTCCTTTGACAAACTATCTTGATGGCAAAGCAACTCTACCAAGTGAAGACTTTAACAATAATTAATGAAAAAATGTGATAGTGCTGCACTAAAAAAATCCCAGTTAAAGGTTATTTTACGCATACTAACCTATAGGGAAACATCTACAACATGCATGGTAGTGTTCCTTATGAATGAGGGTGGAAAAACAGCTTTAATGTACCATTATTGGAAAAACTGAGCTATGAGAATAAACATCCAGATAAAAAACAATCAAGATTTCCTCTTAATACTTGTAATTTGATCATGGTTAGTGATAAAAGCCTAGAATATAATGGAATTAAAAGTGTAAACAAAGGAAGTCAGAATTAAACACTAAAATGTTAGGTTTGCTGTTACATAGCTTACAAAACAAAGGACAAAAATGTGCATGTAATAAAATATATAATCAATTCATACTGAATGTTTATCTTTTCCTCTTAACAAATTATTTATACAGTGATGAATAAGGTTTAAATATTTTGTTGGTGCTGCTAAAACTGTAAGAATTAAGGTACTGGTCCCTACTTTTTTTAGACAATCATAGATAGCAGTTCACCACATTTGTATGGTGAGAATGACAGCGTTGGCTCACAAACTGTACTTTACCTGTTGATGCCTGCCTTTAATATCTAAATATTTTTCTAAAATGAATACAGCTCCTTGGCAAATAGGAGGAAACTACGCAGAGCAATGACAACATAATTGTTCTTTTTAAGAATTTTCCAGTTAAGGTATTAACAGAACACTTTAAGCCTTATAAACAATTAAAACGGAAAGAGTCCGACAAGAGCCATATTTTGGGACAAGTTTGTAAAGTGATTCAGGATTTAGAAAACACTGGTTAACTTGTGTTATCACAGACATAAGACACAACACAGACAGCTCATTACATTTTAACAGAATATAATTATTCAAGGTGTGAACATTTTGTTTGCTTAAAGACCAGCCATCTACCCTAATCAGGCACATTTATAGGAATATAATAGCTTTTCCACCAAAAAGATCAGGGTTTCTTAACCCTGGTCCTTGGGGCGTATTGTCCTGCATGTTTTAGGTTTCCCTGCGTCCACACACCGGACCTGAATGAAAAGGTAATTCACAGGCGTTTGCAGTGTTTGAGGGCAGCAAGGAGGAAATGTCATCATTTGAAGCAGGTTTGCTTGAGTAGTGACACATATAGAACAGGGACAGTGGGCCCTCGGGATCAGGATTAAGAATCCTGATGTAGATGACTTCCCAAAGTTTCAACCAAACAGAATGGGAAAGACAGACCTAAAGTGACTTTGAACTAGACTTAATAGTTGGGGTCAGATGGTTGGTCTAATTTACTATTTCAGAAACTGCTGATCCATCTCTCAGGCTAACAGAATGGTCAGAAAAAAAAGAAAATACCAAGACAGCCATTAAATCTTGCAGCAGGCGAACTATAGCAGCAGCAGACCAAATCAAAAGCCAATCCGATCCGCTAAGCACAGGAAAATGAATGTAGCACTTACACCAGCTTATCTACACTGACAAAATGACTGGGAAACCATTCTCTGATGTTGTGAGTAGGTGTAACATTCAGATGGTAGGGACAGAGTTAAGGTAAGCAGCATTACCTTTTATCAACAACAATGGTGCTGGTGTGATGGTATGAAGGATTTTCAAGATAATTTATTTACCTTAGTAGTGTGTGTTGTTTAATCACAACAACTGATCTCAGCCCATCTTTTGATAAAGAAGATTGACTGCTGTGAACTGCGGTCAAGAAATTTACAACGGAGATTTAAAAATGCCAAAATCTCTATACAAAGCTTCCAAGAACAATGAATCTCAGCAAAAAAAAAAAAAAAAAAAAAAAAGAATTAATGCTGTTCAGAGGGAAAAAAGTTACTTTTTCATTGCTATATAGTTCTAGCTATAAAG